CAAGTACTAGTTCATATTTTTGCCTCTGATCCTAACAACCAAACACATGCTCCTGTATAAGTTTGGTTGTTAGGATAATGTAGGCTTAGCCATTTCGGGAAAACTTGATGCTCCTACTAATCATTTTTGTAAAAAAAAGCTGCGCTCAAGTCGTTTCTCATCATCATCTATGTTTGGGAATCTGTTTTCCCTTCTCAAAGCCTTTTTGTTAACAATGACGTCCGTGGAGATTGCCAAGGGGAGGATTGAGCTCTAGGAAAGCTCGAGAATTCATCATGATTCTCAAGACCCTTTTTTGTTTATTCATGTTTGATTATTTATGTTTATTTACTCAGTGGGTTGAAAAGTGTTTGTCTATGAGAGGTGCATTGAATCATCGGTGCACGCTGCACATAGTTGTTCTGGTAAAACAGAGATTGAGCTTTAGAAAAGTTTTTAAAAATTCTCTGAATCAAGCACTTTTTAATAATCAGTTTAACATGGACGGAATAGAAAAGCAAGATGGATGGAACTGAGTGAAAAGAAGGAACTGTGTCATCAACAAAAAACTGCAGGGGAGAGGAGGCATTGAGGTGGAATTCATTCAGTCAAACTGGGTTGTTCCACATTTCCGTGAAGGTAGCATTTCTCTCATATTTTGAGTGGCGCTTTCCTTCTCTATCACCTCCTTTTCTCTATACGCAATACATCAGATGCTCCACTACAGCGATAGCACCATCATGCTCCTACCTAGTACCTAGATAAAGCTTCCCCAGCAAATGGAGATTTCCAGCTATCATTAGCACCGGGGATGCTGGTCCGTCGTATGTAGCAAATTTTCTTATCTAACACCTTATCCAAATAGATCAGGCGGTAAATGTTTGCGTTGTTGTGTCTCAACCCCACCACCACCACATCGCTACGTGTCTATACGTATGTATGTATACTTGCCCAGGCCAAACACACGGGCAGTACGCACAATTACACGAGCGACCACTTACACACACATGCGCATACACAAACTCCTCGCTCAAGTTCTGTGTTAGTTTTCGCCTGGCCTGAATACTCTTTTCCATCTCGAACATTCTCCCAAGTGTCATTTTTACTGTCTGGTCAATACCATTGTGGTTGTACAGGTAGGTAATGGCGGGATGGAGCTCTGAAAGGCTCGAATTGAAGGGCTCTGAAGTTAGCTGTCTGTACATCTAAATTCAATTCACTTAAGTTATGAGTTCTCTAATCTGCTAGTTTATTACTCTTCCTGTAAGATTTCACTCTTCTCCCAGACTCCCAGACTTTGTTTTTTTGACTTTATTCTAAGGTAATTCCTTCATAAAGCTCTTGGGTCTGAATAGAAAGGCCACGGATAAAGTCCTTGGCGCCAATCAATTCGTTCTTAGGATTCGCCACGCATTCGACTTTCATTCAGAATCGCGGTGGCGCATATGTGGCCTATACAATGACCTGCAGTGACCAGAGGATGAAAAAGTCTAGTGCTCGATATAAGACTCGTAGGAGAGGTGTTTTTATCCTCTCCGACAAGTCCTGTACCAAATAACCGACGCCGGAAGAATCGAAATTTCCGGCGCCGATCTTCCTAAATCTCTTCCACTCACATTCCCAGCCTTCTCCTTCGGTCGGCAGCTTCTGTGGAAGTTAATCGTGCGTGAAGGACAGAGGACAGTATTGTAAAGAAAATCTCCGCACTGCTAGGCTTAGCCCTGATTGAAGTGTGATGGGACGTCGAAGTAAAGTCAACATAATCTACAATAAGAAAATAGTTCTAGTAAGACAGGAATATGCGATCCTCGATATTCTTAAAATTCATAAACTTTACGCAATCATTAAAAATAAACCGAGAAATCCAATGTTCGGTTGCCACAGCTGGTCTCCTAATTTCCAATTTTTTGTTGAACTGAGTTGATTTCTGCATATACTGAGGTCTTGAAAACACCTCAATACTATTATTACTTTGTATTATTTATCCTAGACGCCCTCAGTAAAGTAATGTTGACGCTTGTGGAAATAATTTCAAAGCAAAGGGACCACATATCTGTTTACCACACAGATCTTTTTTTCGGATATTTTTTTCGAATATTCACCTTTCGCTATTATAAAACCTTTCGATGAGTAAGGAGGAGTGCTCGCCGTTTAGTTAGCATGAACAATGAGTTGGTTGATTTAATAAGGTCAGATTTGTGACGGTACTTGGCTGATGAAGTGGTTCGATTCCGGCTTTATTTGGTCTTTTGATTTTCTCGTATTCAATCTTTCGAAATTCGAAAAAACAGCAAAAAGTAAAAATGATTGTTGGGTCACCAAACCTGTGAGCATCTGTACAAACATAGATGCCTCTATTCATATGTGTTCACCCATTTAGAGTTGGAAACGCGAAAAACTTTTTTGGAGAGAACGGAGAGACCTGCTTACGCCCTGCAAGTTCATGTGCTTGCTCATTTTAAGTTCATTTTGTTACAGGGGAAAGGGGATGGAGGTAGAGGCTAGAAGATCAGGGGCCAGGAGGCGGCCCATAGTGTCACCGATACAGACGGACTTTGAACACCAAACACCTATGTGAATTCGAGTGATAAGAGCACCGAACGCGGGTCATTTCACCGACTCCTACGCTTAGTAGTGTCTAGGTTCCTCTGTTCGGGCTCGTTGAACATCTGGAGTAGGCACGGGTCATTGATAATCGCTTTCTTTCATCCCTCTTTTATAATGTGATTCTGGCTTGTTTAAAATCAGCCGTGGGCTTGTGACCCGATTGTTTATCCGTCGCTCCAGTTTCGCAGTAAAAACTGGTTCATGTTTATGTTTTTTTTCATTATATGGCTTAACATAGGTCTAATTTCTAGAAGAATCTTTCTTACTCGCCTCTATTCGGACGAGTGAACTTCGTGCTCTTCGTTGGTTAACTTCAACTTTCAAGAAACATCTCTTTTGGTTATCGATCGTTTTCTCGTTTCTCGTTTGGTGTACACTTTCTTTTCTGTTTACTCTTTGGGCGGTCTCTCGAACGATGGTTCGCACGTCCTCTTACCATCACACCGACGTTACCACCTAATCTTATCACTTCCACCGCTTGACCTTCTAGCTTGTTACCCTCTATTCCACGAATCCTCTTTGACTCTTTGAGCACCCACCAGGCGCACGTCCCAAGCGCTGTCGATTGTCGGGGCTCTTGCCTAGTTATAAATGGGTTAATAATAAAGTCTCTCAGCGTTTATCAATCTCGGTTCTGGTATGCGCCTCACATTCTACTTCCGCTAAGAATTGTAAGACGCTTTGAAGGCATATGTCGCCTGAACAATGAGTTGCAGTGACAAGCTAATGTGGAATTCATTACATATCCTCCAAGAGGAGTCCGGTATCCCGATCGACCGATCCCGAGATTTTGAAGGGTTGCTGGCATGGGCGACTATTGATTCGGGTTTCGGACTCGGTTTCATAGTGCACCGCTTGCCCCTATACCACCTACCACCTGTTTCATGATTACATCTTCAGAACCGGCCTTCGGGAAGTTATTCGATATTTCTACCCAATTCATTATTGAGAGTTACTAGCTGATTTACTAGGGCCATTGAGCTGATACTGACTGTGAAACTTTCTCAACTGGTTTTGTGTGCATTCTACCATTTTTCTTCCGATTCGGCCTAACTTCGAAGTCTTCTGCTCAGGTGAAAAACATCATTGTGGACTCCAGACAAAGTGAAGAATTAAAAGGTCCA